CTATAAAGAAGGCTGACCGCTGAAGAATTGATGCTTTTGAACTGTGGTGCTGGAGGTAGACTCTTGAGAGTCCCCTGGACCGCAAGGAGATCAAAGCTATCCATTCTAAAGGAAAGCAACCCTAAGTGCTCACTAGAAGGACAGATCCTGAAGCTGAGGCTCCAGTACTTTGGCCATCTTATGAGAAGCGAAAACTCCCTGGAAAAGACCCTGATATTGGGAAAGTGTGAAGGCAAGAGGAGAAGGGGACGACAGAGGACGAGATGGTTGGGCAGTGTCACCGAAGCAACCACCATGAATTTGACCAAACTCCCGGAGGCAGTGGAAGACAGGAGGGGCTGGTGTGCTCTGATCCATGGGGTCACGAAGTGTTGGGCATGACTTAACGACTAAATAACAACAAACAAAACACAAAATTATAATATTGCAAAAGAAAGGAAAAAAGAAAAGGGGGAAGCAGAGAAAAAGCAAAGCAAAGCAAAGCAAAACAAACACTACAGAGCGAGAGAGAGAGAGAGAGAGAGAGAGAGGCTTCTATAAAAGGTTTCTAAACATAAATATATATATATCCATGCATACTTTCCATGTCTTTACCACCCATTCATATGATGATAATGTTGTAAGGTCTTCTGTCCACTGGATTAGTGGTGATGTGCATCTCTTTTTTCCAGTGTTTTAAAATCAGTCTTTTTGCAATTGTAAGAGCATGGAATGTTGATTTACACTGGCTGGTGGTTAATTCACCTCCCCTCCAAAAAAAAAGATGTATAAATTAAAAGTACATAAACATCAACAAGATCAAAGATGACTATAATAACTCCTCTCCAAAATGGGCTCCAGACTGGCCGTGACCATAGCATATGACCGAGAGATGCATCAAGAGAATCACAGTGTCAACATTTAGACAATTTGCTCAGACTCTTCCTAAATAGATGCTGCGATGTCCAGTATAATCTAAACATAATATTTTGTTGGATAGGCCCTAGCTTGTGATGTAAAGATACTTCAGGTATACTGGTGAGTCGTATCTTCCAATGGATATATAAGGAATTGGAACATATAGAAAATGGAGAGTGCATAGTAAATTAAAAATAATGAAGTATATCCTAGAGCTCTTGAATCTTATGGTGTCTATTAACATATTCTTTCAGCCCACCAAGCTAACACAGCATAAGCCCAGGGATGGAATAACACCAGCCTGGAGTTCTGGCACTATCACTTTGCACACAGATATTCAAAGGGTATCCCCGAGCTGCAGAACCACAACGTTGCATGAAACACCACCTCCCTCAAGCACAATGCCACCTAACTCCAAGAGACTCTGAGCAGACAATGGCACCATCTTGGCACTGTTGCCACACACATTTTGCCTGGCATTTTTCAATCTTCCCAAGATCACCACCAAAGATTTGAATGGCTGACCCAAAAGAACATCAGAACAAGACAAGACAAAGGAAGATACATGTTGGGGATTTCTTGTTGCCATGGCACTGACTTTTAAATAAACAGTAGGGAGATTGGTTCCAAGGCCCACCACCACATGCTGGCAAACACAGATTGTAGTGAACACTGTTTTAGCACTGTCTCTGGCCCCCTCTAGTCACCAGTTCTGGTAATGAAATTGTAGAAACATATTTATTTAACAAATGCTATAAATAGCATGGACTCTGTCTCTCTCTAGTGACCAGTTCTGGTAACTTCTTTAGAAATATATATTTCTAGGATTTTTTTAAAAATATATCTTTTTAATATTCTCAGACCTTGGATAAGTGAATTAGCGGATACTGATCCTGCAAATACAGGGGTCCTGCCATACTTCAAACTGTTTCCGCAAGAAAATCTGTTTCTACTCTACCTGAGCACCATGCCACTCTTTGCCTAAAACACAAATACTTTGGTACATGTGTGTGAATATGGAAAAAAAATTCTCTTTGAAATGAATTCCTATTTTATTCTGCTAAATGTTAAACTGCAATTTGTTATACAAATTAAATATTGTAGCCCTTAGGATGGACTCTGTCTGGCTCTTGATTCCATCAGTCTAAATCTCTTGACGGCTTCCTCTAATAGAGATAAATGAAAATTACATGGGGCCTTATTTGGGGTCCCTTGGTAGTTCCATCTATCATGTAAATCTCTGATTCTACTGGGAGGGGAGGGTTAAAGGAAAGGAAAGTGCACCTTGCTAAGTGCAGATCAAGGAAAGCCTAACAATAATTCTTTTTCTGGAATCCTAAAAAATAGGGTTTCCCCATACCTGTTCACATTCATGTGTGAGAAGGAAGGGATACCAAATTTTTTTACATACTGACCATTTGCTTTGATTTTTTAAGTCACAAGCATTGTAGTCCTAGCCCTGCTTCTTTTCATTGCGTTGTTCCCTCATTTCATGAGGGATGCCAAGTTATTGTTGTTATCAGGCTACCTCAGAACCATTTACTCAAAAGCTGCTGGACTTATGTGTATATATTTTTTCCTTACCCTGTGACTTTGGAGTATCCTTTGCCTCCTGAACAGCTGAGGCATATATGTGAAGCAAAATATACAAAGTCCACCCTTTCTGCCCTCTTATATTTGTCTCACATTGTATGCCTTTTCTTCTTAATTTTCATTGCAGATGATAGAGAACAATGGTCCAGTCTTGCATCCACAGATTGCTGGTTGCTACCCCTTACTGCAAGTGCATCTTTGCCAAGTATTTAGAGAACATCATGCAAGATATCATCTTCCCTAGGGCCAGACTCACCTGATACCTAACCACTGTGGTAAAGCTTTAAGCTCCAAGGTGACTTCACATCAGCCCCTGGAAGATGGATTCAGTGCTGAGGGCAACCCCCAAGCCATTGTTCCTGATTCTGAAGGCCCTGCAGATGATTTCACCCTCACACATGACTTCATATATCACACTCCGCCTGGAAACTCTCACAAGCAGCTCTAAGGAGGGGAAGAAGACCCAGAGTACCGCCCGAGAATGCATGCTGATGAAGGGGGGAATGGGGATTGTTGAGAGCCTCCCAAGCTGGCAGCCATGAGTGAGCCAACACCATATCACAATTACTTAAGAGTGAGCTCCTCCCTTTCTTAATCCAAGAGTGAGGTCCTCTGTATTTTTTAATTCCTGAGTTTGGCTACCGCCTTCTTCCCGATGCTGCTGCCATTGGGCTCTGGTTTCCACATTTTACTGACTAATAGTTCTTGAACTTTGCCTTTTCAACCCAGTCTCCAAAATACCAAACTGTTTTTCCTTTCAAGGAACAGTCAATAAACTGGCACCCTGAAGTGGATGGTCGTCCCTGAAACTATTATGCTCCAGGAGACGCCTTTCACTGTCACCTCTTGTCCCTTCTTGGAACTGAACTGTTTCCAGTTACTCTACACAACACAGTTTCCCAAGAAAACGAACTCTGTTTGCATTTTCTCACCTGAATGTCCCTAAGTTCAGGTTTAGGATGAACAACACTTTCAGTACTACTAGCAGTAAAACTGCTAAAGTACTTGGATGTGTCTTCTTGTTGCCTGTGCATGCTTCCCTTTTCCCATCACTCTTATATTATGCCTTGTTTGTTATATATTGCTGTACCTGACACCTTAAAATATTCCATAGGTGATAAAAAGTGAGTAAAGATAAAAAGTGGTAAAGAGTGAATTTCAGGGGGAGGGGGCTTCGTCCTATTCTCCACTTGGCAAAAGGCGACTGTTATTAACACCTTAGCCCAGAGCATAACATAATAGCCAGTTATCTTGATTGGGGCAACGGTTATGCTGGGTGGGCATGGTGCCTGAGATTCTGAGGAGCTAGTGGGACAAGGTGCATGGTTTAACAATGATTACCAGCTTTGTTTATGCAACTTTCATCCTTTGTGTGCCTTGCTCGTTGATACCTGGTGTAGCAGTTCAGTTACCCTGTCATACATTCAAACATCATTACTCTTCTTGCCGTACTTTGGGGCTTCACTTATGAAGGTGGGCATATATTTTTAAAATTGCTTGTCAAATACCTTATTTTCTCCCAAACCTACTACTTTCACTGATAAGATTATATGTAAATCATCATCATCATCATCACCATCATGTGCTGTCAGGTCAGTTCTGACTTATGGCAACCCTTTTCATTGAACTCCCAACCTCTGGTTCTGCATTCAGATAAGTCAACCTCTGAACTATCCAGCCAGCTCATAGGCAAATAGATAGGGCTAAATTCTCTCCCCTTCCAAAGTGATGCTAAAATGTTTTCAGAAGATTTGAAAAGTAACAGAAGAACATGGGTGTGTGTGTAGAATAACAAAGTGAGATAAGGGTAATACAGTATGGATGGCAGAAAAAAATCCTAGTACATTAGTGCAGAAACCTGGATTTTTAAGGAGAACACATGTTCTACCTGGAAGAGCCTTCAGAAAGAGGTCTGGGACTCATGGCATAATCCAGCCAAAAGGTAGTATGTAAAATTGGGTACATTTCGGAGGTAGAATACATTATGTGCTTAAACTTCCTTGCTGGAATTAATTGGCCTTTAAGGTTGCAATTCTAAACTTGCTTATTTGTGGAAACATTCCACTTAACTCACTGCAATGTCTCGATAAATATCCTTCAGAGTGCACTACACAGTGCTAAAAGTTTTGGCTGGCAAATGTTTGCTTGCTTGCTTGCCTGCCTGCCTGCTTTCTATACCACCCATCCAGTGACAAGCCACTACTGTGAGCAGCCTCACTGGCTAGTAAGTTGGCTTTCAGAATTCAGCATTTCCTCAATGGCAGATGTGTTGAAAGTACAAAAGTATGCATTACTTTGGAATGTAATGATATCCAAATACAAGTGGAGACCTAGTATCATGATTGAAGCATAGTACTGTATTTCCATTTTAGCCACATGAGGGATTAATATAAAACTAGCATTGTGGATGCAAAGCTATGGTGCAAGATCAAATATTTTTATCCTTGGCACTCTGTTGAACTGCCCCTTTCTCCGCCTCCTCAATTTCTTCAACATTCCAATGAGAATTTAAAGTGCTATCCAGTGCAGCAAAAATCCCCAGCAGAGGATACGATTAGTGCAGGCAACTCCACAGTTTGAGGTATCCAGAGGCAGTTTCCAAGGACTCAAATTTCCTGACAGCTTTACAGTCTGAGGAAGACTACAGTGATTCTTTCACAGAGCCAAAATATTCACTGGAGAGAAAAGTAGGTGGAAAATTGTATATAAAACCTTCTCTCTTTGGTTTCTGCTGTATCTGGGTGTCATAGACGTGGGAGGTCACAGCATACCAGCTTTGAATGTGTAAGGCCACATATCCCATGCTCAGTATTTCCAGCTGAAAGAACTGAGGGTCAGATGGTAAGAATTACTTCTCCCAAAGATCCCAGGAGCTGCTGTTGATCAGAGCAGAGCTGGGAAACATGACCTGTTTGGACTACAACTCCCAGAATCCCCTGGCCACTTATCATGCTGCTAGGAGGTTCCAGGAAATGCCATCCAAATCAGCAACTTTTCCAACTTGTGGGACAGAATGTAGATAATACTGGGACTGATGAACTGCCTTGCAATCTGTCCTTTGAAGGAATAAATTAAGTGATTGACAATGTTACATTTCAAAAGTAACAAAACATGTAGGGACAAGGTTACTGTGATAAGTAACCTTTTTATGACAACTGATAAAGTTATACATATTGGAAAGCACTTTTACAAGAATATTTAAACCTCCATGCTGTTATCTTATCAGTCCCACGGTTTTATTTTGAAGTACTGTAATGCAAAGTTATTAAAAATCAATTTAAAAACCATACACAAGTTACTTTGTTGTGCTAGCACCGACAAATAATGACAATGAATTATTCTTTAAATATTATTACAAGCAGTGGCGCCAAGTTATTTTTGAAATGTAACTTTCCATGTTCTGCCTGATATAAGATAGTTTCAAGGGTGTATGTTGTTCCTACATAGAAAACCATGGAACGATGAGCTGTATCCAATACTTCATATATCCTGATTCTTTGGGGAAAAGCTGTTATATAAAATCCTGCTCTGGAAATGAATGAATCTGATCCAGATTCAAAAAACATTTCAAAAGTATTGTTGACCTTTAAAAATTATTATTCAGATCATCTACAGAAATGTCTTAGGAATAATTTTAGTGCTTAACACAGAACTGTATAAATTTATCGGTCTATCTAACTATTGACAGATCCCAGGGGCACAATATTAACCTATCAGTGCATCTGGGTCTTAGTAATTCTGTTTAAATTTCTCCTATTAAAAGATATAGGATTAAAATCTTGAGCTTAATAAAACAAACCATGGACTTGAATGCAGGCAACATATTACAAAATTTGGGTTTGGTTGGTTGGGCTTACATTTTTGGGTTTCAAGGCCATTCTAAACATTTTTATGGAGTTAAAAACTATATGAAATAAATTACTTGCAGGAAGATTGACTGCTGTTTGGGGTGCAGGCTATATTTCTGGCTTGTAAGCTTATTGTTTTGATAGCTTCTTTCTGTAGCTCTGATGATACATTGCAAGAGAGATTATCAGCTACTGACTGAGGCAAGTCAAATGTACCTACTTCTGATATGTTAGGGTGCAACTAGATGACCAAATTGGAGTTGGCCAAAAAAAAGGTTAGTTTTTTTTCTAAAAGGCATAGTGCAACGGCACTTTCTTACAAGACTTTTTAAAAAAACCCACTGCTTCTTGTCTCTCTTCCTCCACAGAAAAGCTGAGAAAGCTTTCAATTTCCCTACAACATTAAGTGGCTTCGGCTGTTCTGGAACCAAACCAAAATGAAGCACATGCTGGAATTGAACCAAAAGCGAGCCATTCTAGCCCCCCCCCCAACCCCACACAGATAGTAGGCCCTGACAGGGAACCAAAAATTTGCAAGTAGACATGCATCAGGGATGGGCCAGTTTGTGATAGCACATATGTTGTGTGGTGGCCAGGAAAAGCAGTGAACTAGCTTGTCTCCAGTGTGGACCAAACAGCAGAAAAAATCCCCGTCTAGTTGCATCCATAGTCTGTTTCCAACACAAGCTACCAGCCGGCAAAGAACGAGGGTAATGGCATACTCCTACAATTTGTCTCCAGCATCTGGTACTCAGACGCTCACTGCCTCAGGGCAGGGGGTTCTATTATTGTGGATAATTAATAGTGCTTCAGCTGGCAGCACTGGCTAGAGTGAAGCAAGTAGGAGGAAGTTTGCCTTGGGGGCAGAGTGTGTATGAGGAAATGGAGTGTGACTTACACAAAAATATTAAAACTTCGTCTAATTACACAGTGGGTAAAAATAGTTCAGTTGGGAACCTTCAGTGCAGATTTGCTACAAGTCTCCCTCAGTAGACCATCCCTTATTTGTTAGTTTACATCAAATGGCAATTATTGCCTCAAAACATTCATTCAGAGACTCTGGTAATGAGAAAAAAATAAAAGTTTTCATTTACTTACTGTTCTTGATAGATTTTTTATTTAATTGTTTGTTTGTTTATATTTCTAAAGAATGAAAAGACAATCAACCATATTACAAATAATAAATAAAAAGCTATTCCCCACAATTCTCCAAATCACATTTATACTATTCCCCATCACCTTTTAAAGAAATATCGACCAACAATCTATTTTTTTTTTCAAACCACATGTCTCAAAGTCTATTTTGTCAGCATATTTTAATAATGGCTTCCAATTTTCAGTGAATTTACTGTGGCTTATTTCTCCTCTATGTAATCTAACTTTATTAGTCATTTTTTTCCATCAGCATTATATGCCATATTTTACTCGTGAATGATTGCAATGAGTAATCTTGGGCTTTTTTCCTGTTTTTAGCGATTTCAGGTCTTGCGGTGCCTATAAGATTTGCAACTAATTCTTTATATTCTGGTTTCTCATTTCCCCCTGTGAATAATGAAAATAACAATAATGTTTCATTAATATCTATTTTTTTATTAGTCAGTGTCTCTATCCATCTAATTACCTTGTGCCAAAATGCTTCTATTTTGGGGCAAGAGATCCACATATGTTCCAGAGTTCCTTTTTGTCCACAGTTTCTCCAACATTTATCAGATATATCTTTATTAATTCTATTTAGCTTTGTAGGGTATAGATGCCACCGATGCACTACCTTCGGAACCATTTCTTTCACACTTGCTGATATAGATTTATATGGGTGTTTTTTCCAAATTCCTGTCCAAATTTCCTCATAAAAACAAACATTTTTCCTGTCCAAATTTCCTCATAAAAACAAATATTGTATTGTGTAAAAATGTTAACTTGTTACATCACTGAGTTTGGCTGGTTAACTACCTTCATTACTGACTAACTGACTGATTATGTAGCTGACTGAGCACTGCATACTAGCAGTCTTCACACTCCATTGCTAACACTGTCAGAACCCTGACTGGAAAAAAGATGGTGAAAAGAATCTGAAGTAGAGAGGGAACAGTTGGCTGCTGGATAGCTCATGGTTAGAGGCTGGGAGTTCAATTCCCCACTGTGCCTCTCTGTCGGGGCTGGACTTGATGATCCATAGGGTCCCTACCAGCTCTGCAATTGTAGATTATTACTGAGTTAACTGACATCCACTCCAGTCCAGAAAGGTGCCTCCCAGCTAAAAATTCCTTAAAACGCATCACATGTAGGTCGCAATATATCCAACATGTTGGATGGAGCTGGGGCAAGATGTGGTAGGGGTAAAATAACAGAATGCAGTGACTTTTAGCCTTCCCTCTTTGTTGAGGTGTCAGCTGCCATTGAGCATTTCCAGACCCATCTCCCAGCTTCGACATCATTTTCTTCAATGGAGATCAGAACAGTTGCTAAGCCATTTTGTTCTCCATGCCTTTGGAACAGATGGAACATGTGGACTGGGATGTGACACGGCGTGAAACTGTCGAGGTGGGCGGGGTTCTTCTTACAAAGCAGACATGTGACATATGGGACAAAATATGGGCTTTCCAAGCCAAGCCTGATGACCTGCTCATTGCAACCTACGCAAAGGCAGGTGAGTATGCAAGTGGGGAAGATAAGGAGTGCACCTGAGCATTGTTACCTTACCGGGTCTGTGATGTAGTCCAGGGCGTATAACTGTCTCCACCTGAACTTTGCCCAGATTGACGGCTCTTTGCTCATTACCAGTTATAAAAAAAGGGGAACAGCACTGGAACATTTCTTGTCATGGGTGTATGCAGAAGTTCCTAGTAGATAGTTCCCAAATAATTTCCATGTTAATATACATAAGCTGAATAGTTTTACAAAATAGGCCCTACTCATATTTAATGGGTATATTGACTGGAAAGTGCCCAGTTTCATTCGGTAAGTATTATTTATAGCTATATATCATGTGACTGCTGACTACTGAGAACACACAATGCTGTTTACAGGATAATTATTTATGGCAAGTGTATGAAACACAGCTAAGGATCTAGTTTTTACTATTGTTTCAACTCTTGCAAAACATGCAGTAGAAATCTCATAGGAGAAAAAGTCTTTGAGGGGAATTTTGGAAGATGAACTATAGACAAGGAAAGGTTTTAGCTTTCCATCTTTTCTTCCAGTTTTTGCTTTCTTGAAAGAGCCTCGTGGAGCAGTGGTTAAACTGCTGTACTGCAGCCAAAACTGTGCTCACGACCTGGGGCTCAATCCCAGGTAGCCGGCTCAAAGGTGACTCAGCCTTCTATCCTTCCGAGGTCGGTAAAATAAGTACCCAGCTCGCTGGGGGGGGGGGCAATGTGTAGCCTGCATAATTAACTTGTAAACCGCCCAGAGAGTGCTTGAAGTGCTATGGGGAGGTATATAAGCAGCACACTTTGCTTTTGCTTTGCTTTTCTTAATCACATTTTCTTAATCAACTTTTTCACCTACAAGGGGGTGGGTAAACACTGAACATCTGTTATACAAGTTTGTTCACTATGCAGTTTATACTTCATTTCTGCCTTGCATATGTACATCACTGTATGATAAGGAAATAGCCATTACTGGAATATCAACCACCACTATATACAGCAGTTGCAAAAGCAGGTCATAACTCATGGTGGGTCATCAGATTGGGATGATCCAATTCACATTATTTTATATTGACTCCATGGTATAAAAGTCATTGCAAATCAGTACAAACTCCTCCCCGCTCCATATTTTTCCCTGTACTGCTAGGCTTCCACTTTTTTCCCAATCAAATGCATTTGCATCAGTTCAGGCAGTGTAACTGCTTGACTTGATGTGGAGTGATTTGCAGCTATTGTATTGAAAGCCGTTCAGCCAGCTATAGCAGCAGTGAGAGAGGCAGGGCAGCAGGGAAGCTGGATGCCCTATGAATCCTCTCTTCAAACCTGGTACCTGGGTCTACATCTGCTTCCCCTTCTCCTACCGTTTTTCCACAGACTTGCTGTACCTAGCACAATGGCAGGTGGTAAACCAAAGGGGTGGGGGAGGAGTGAGGAATCAGAGAGAGAGGAGGAAGTTTTAAGATAGCTTTGCCCTGGCCATTCAGATTTACAGGAAGCTTAAAATTTCCTCCAGTCTCTCTGGCAAGTCTTCACTCTTCCTCCCACCCCTCTGATCAGCCAGCTGCCCTAGTACTGTGACAGCAAGCAAAGAAAGAAAGAAAGAAAGAAAGAAAGAAAGAAAGAAAGAAAGAAAGAAAGAAAGAAAGAAAGAAAGAAAAGAAAGAGGAGAGGGAAACAAGCAGATTGATTGTTTGATTCCACACAGAGGCAGTATTTAACTATTTTGAAGATGAAACATCTATAATGTGGCCTCTGATATTTTCTGAGAAAGTGGGCTCTCATCCGCAAATTCTTATGAAACAGTAAATTTTGTTACCATGCCACAATACAAGATTCTTTTTTTTTACATCATCAGGTACGACATGGACACAAGAGATTGTAGACATGATTCAGTGTGATGGAGATATCGAGAAATGTAAACGTGCTTCCATTCCAGACCGACAGCCTTTTATTGAAATGGTTACACGCAAAACATTGCCTACTGGTGAGCATCAGAGAAAGAAAGATGCAGGCTATTTTGTTGACACTTAACAAACAGAATATTGCTATGCAATTCGTAATGAAGTTTAAGTATTTCATAACAAAACAGAGTAGACTCAGCGGTTCATATTATTTGCTAAAACCCCCTATTTTATTCTGAAAGAAGCACAATGGCAGAAAGGAATTGTTAGCAAGTAGAATCACTACTTGCTTATTTTGATATCCTGTGTCAGTCCTAGCTGTCAGAACTCAGTTCTGACTATTTTTCTCCAAAGACTCTGGTTTTTGTTTTGTACACTTTGTTCAAATAATTTATGGTGTAAAAATAGAAAATTACTGAGCAAATTGTCCTTAGAGTAGGAAGATAAAATGGGATTATTTTGGATGTCCCAGACATAGTGAATTTAGAAGATCTGAAACAAAATTAACAATTGCTTTGAAGAGATACAGTATATCACAGAAGTGAGTACACCCCCTCACATTTCATAAATATTTTAGGGTTTCAGCCATGGAAGCTCACTGGGGGTATGGAACTGGTAAAAGCACACCTTATGTATTTCAATTACTTTAAAAGCCCTATTAGGGTTGCTATAAATCAGTTCTGACTGGACAGCACATACAGTATATCACAGGAGTACACCTCCTCACATTTCATAAATATTTTTCAGCAGTTTCAGCAGAGTATATGGCGGTCTAGGCAGTCCAGCAATAAACACACGCAGTCCGGCAGCATTTCGTGCAGCAAAAGTGTATTTACAGCAGCAGCATGGCAGGCATATGTGATCTCCAACCAAGTGAAGATAATACTGACTGTACAAGTCTACATATATACATTTCCACAACCAATCACAATACAGATTACCTCATTGCATTACATCAGCTCTAGGTTGCATCAGCCTGGGTTACATCATCCTTGCTGAGTCACCCTGACTCATTCCCAGCACACCTGACAGACATGGTTGCTCATTACAGCATTTGATTCTGGTCAGGCCTATAATTTATATTTGACACCCCTCCAAATTTTAGGGCTGATCAGAACACAAGTGGTCATTTTGGAGGTGTGTTTGGGGTCGTTCTCATGTTGGAATACTGCCCTGTGGCCCAGTCTCTGAAGGGAGGAGATCATGCTCTGCTTCAGTTCCTTCAATGAGCATACAGTTCCCTCAATGAACTGTAGCTCTCCAGTGCGAGCAGCACTCATGCAGCCCCAGACCATGACACTCCCTCCACCATGCTTGACTGTAGGCACAACACACTTGTCTTTGTACTCTTCACCTGCTTGCCCCCCACACACACTTGACACCATCCGAACCAAGTAAGTTTATCTTGGTCTCATTGGACCACAATACATGGTTCCAGAAACCCATGTCTGCTTGTCTGTAGCAAACTGTATGCGGGCTTTCTTGTGCATTATCTTTAGAAGAGGCTTCCTTCTGGGACGACAGCCCTGGAGACCAATTTGATGCACTGTGCAGCGTATGGTCTGAGCACTGACAGGCTGACCCCCTACCTCTTCAACCTCTGCGGTAATGGCAGCACTTATACGTCTATTTCCCAAAGCCAACCTCTGGATATGACGCTGAGCATGGGCACTCAACTTCTTTGGTCGACCATGGCAAGGCCTGTTCTGAGTGGAACCTGTCCTGTCAAACTGCTGCATGGTCTTGGCCACCATGCTGCAGCTCAGTCTCAGGGTTTGGGCAATCTTCTTACAGCCTAGGCCATCTTTATGTAGAGCAACAATTTGTTTTTTTGGATCCTTAGATAGTTCATTACCATGAGGTGCCATGTGGACTGGTCATTCCAGTGACCAATCTGAGAGAACAGGAGTGATAACACCTTGTGACGTTTACCACGTGGCCCCTGCTTGTTTCACCAAACAAAGATCTCACGCTATGTCATCCCACCAGCAGATAACAATTGTGACATTCTCTCTTTTCCTCACTGTCACCAGTGGATTTCCTTTATCCACAATATATAAAGAAATTTAGTCCGACACTTGTCCGGTTACTGCCAACAGAACTTATTTATTGAAATGTATTAAATTTAATCAGAGTCACAGATTTTGTTTATTCAATGCATACAATCAAATCATTAAAATATCATATATCCTGCCACATATCTAATCATCACCTGCTCTATCCATTTATCTTGACCAGTTTATCTCTATTAGTATCTGTTCTCACTATCTCGCTCTCTCTCTTCAAATTCTATCTCTCCTTCATCTCTTCTGCCAAACCTTCTTATATCCGCTGACTCCGCCCCTCCACTCCTCTCATAGGCTCATGTAAATGAGATCCTGAATATGAGTGACAGAAGTAATGTGGGGCAATCATCACACACCTGCTCCCCTTCACATCTGAGACTTGTGGCACTAACAGTTCTCATGACACCAGGGAGGGAAAATGGCTATTTGGGCCCAATTTGGACATTGTCACTTAGGGATGTACTCACTTTTGTTGCCAGCGGTTTAGACATTAATGGCGGTGTGTTGCATTATTTTGAGGGGACAGCACATTTACAGTTATACAAGCTGTATTCTCACTACTTTACTTTGTAGCCAAGTGTTATTTCTTCAGTGTTGTCACATGAAAAGATATACTAAAATATTTATGAAATGTGAGGGGTGTACTCACTTCTGTGATGTACTGTAAATATTTGTGTTTTTCACTGCAGGCAAGCTCTATCAATACATTAGCATTGTGTACATATGTTTTGGCATGTCTGTATCATAGTCCTACCAAACAGTATTGGAGAAGGCAAAAGGACACTGTTGAATTAAAATGGATTATTTCACAGGCCTGGAAAAAGCTGAAGCAATGCCCTCACCAAGAACATTGAAAACCCATCTTCCAGTGCAGCTGGTGCCTCCATCATTTTGGGAGCAAAACTGTAAGGTAACATATGGGGCAGGAAATGTGGATCAAGTTCATTTGGAGTAGGATTAATGCAAGTTAAGAGGACACTGGCAGATTTCTGGAAGATAATTGTTCTGACTCCTCTGATTATACAACACTGTCACTTCTGCAAGCTCCCAAGGGGAAACCATTTAATGAGGCACAAAGATGGATGCTTACAATTGTAAAAGAAAGCATGGGACAGATACTGCTAAATACCTCACAATGGAGAGCAATAAATTATAAAGTATCTTTTCAATGTTGTTCCCAATCCAGATGATCTACGTGGCAAGAAATGGTAAAGACAATCTAGTGTCTTATTATCATTTTCATAGGATGAATCAAATGATGCCAGAGCCAGGCACATGGGAGGAGTTTTTTGAGAAATTCATAGCTGGAAAAGGTGAATGTCCTGTGTCATGCCATGTTCTTTACCGTTAGTAACAAACAATTATTCATATTTTTTTTTAAAAAGCACCTTTGTGCTGGTAATGGGAAATAGAAAACCCTGTTCCATATATAAAAGTAAAGAATCATAGAATAATTGAGTTGGAAGGAGCGTATAAGGCCACTGAGTCCAAACCCTTGCTCAGTGTCCATTGCACAAATGGCTCCTTTCCTGTTTGACAGGGACCAACAAACTGAAGACAAATCCAAGCAAGAAATAGCATCATCTCCCCAATACAAGTGTTGATCTTGTATCAACATAAATACACTGCTTGGCAGCAAAGGTCTTTGAAGTTAGTCTCCTCAGTCATTAGTATGAACAACTTCCTGATGTTATTTCTGTCTTTCAGTGCTCTGGGGCTCCTGGTATGATCATGTAAAAGGATGGTGGGAGGCAAAAAAACATTACCACATCCTCTATCTTTTCTATGAAGATATAAAGGAGGTGAGTGTCTGTGTTTTCAGGCTGCCAGCCATAACCTAATAAAAATGTTACAGATATACTACTGGGATTAAAACTAAAAAACAAATACAGTGGTGCCTCGCTTAGTGATGTTAATCCATGCAGCAAAAATCGCTGCTAAGCAATTTCATCGCTAAGCGATTTTTAAAAGCCCATAGAAACGCATTAAAACACGTTTAATGCGTTCCTATGGGCTTCAAAACTAACCTTAAGCGAAAATCCTCCATTGCGGCGGCCATTTTCGGTGCCTCTAAAGCGAGGCAAAACAGCAGGCGGCCCTTTTGAAACCGCCGATCAGCTGGCCGAAAATGGGGGCTTTGAGATGATCACTTCTCCACGATCATCGCAAAGCAAATTTTCCCCATAGGGGCCATCGCAAAGCGATCGCTCTTGCAATGGCAAAAAGTCCAGCGCAAAGCGATTTCATCGCTATATGGAGCGATCGCTATGCGAGGCACCACTGTATCCCAATGAGCTCAATAGGAGCAAATAGTTTCAATCCAAGTCTATAATTTTAAGGATTCATGGAATGCCATGCACACATGCTTAGAGTTTCTTATTTGATGTCACAATTTATCTAAATGATTCTTAACACATTTGTCCTATTAACAGCAACCTGATCAGTACTGTGCACATATGAGGAATAATCTACCTAACTGGGTAAGAACACAAGGACAGTTTTGTTGCATCAAACCAAGATCCATTTAGTAGAGCATTCCATAATTTGTTTTTTCATTACATTTCTATACCACCCAATGGATTAAACTGGCTGGCTGGTTCGCACAATGCAACTTAAACCCATACAGTATAAAACATATTGATTTTATTTAGTCATTAATTACATGTATCTCCCAAATTTTCTCCAGTGAGCTCCAGACAGTGTATATGGTTCTCCTCCTTTCCAGTTTAATGTCATAACAATTCTGTGAGGCAGGTCAAGCTGGGAGACCATGATTTGTTCAATTAAATCTACTCAGTTTCATGACTTAGTAGGAAACAGAACTTGTATTTGAAATCTATTGCTTCATGTAGTAAGTCACAATTAGAGTAAACCTATTGAATCAGTGATGATTTCATGAGTCAGTTTTTCCTTAAGTTCCATTTATTCAATGGGACTGTTATAGTTTTTCCTTAATTTGCTAAACAACAGAATTTCAGCCACTGTCCACAAGTGCTGCCACAATATTCGAAGCCCTACATGACACTGGCTTTTACAAAACAAATTATGCTGTGCTTTTTTGGGTTGGCCTAACAAATATATTGCTACAGTACAGATTTTGGAAAAAATAAACAATGCATTATAGCTGCAGGAGAGTGCATCTATGTATATTATTGTGCAGCAGAACAAACCAACATTCTACATGGTAATTATAAAAATGAAGGCAGCCCAAAGGAAAAAAAATGTAACTTTGAAACTGGAATTTGAATTAGCAACTAATTTGGCACAGGTGTGCTCTTTAAATACTTGCTTTAAAGATAGTAATGGAGTGGCAGTCTTCTAGAAAGGGGCATTTTGCCATGTATTTCCAAAGAATTAGAATACAATTTTGTAAGACATATTGAAAGTACAGTATTTCTGCATTACAAAAGCTTCAAGCAGTTGTGTCTCTTTGAGCCCTGATTGCTTTCAGTAAACATTCTCTTAGGATTTCTGAGACCAGGCTCCTGACATGAGTTTTCAAAGGGGAAATTAACTTTTGAACCTGTCAAATAGGATCCTATTTAATTTTTACCTCCTTTCTGGCCAAACAGAATCCCTTACAAAGCATCCCTTACAAAGGGATTCTGTGCCTCTTTGTAAAAGTATTTTAAAAGATATGTAAAAAGGATACAGAACAAATATTCAGGAAGTCACTCACTGAAGCTGAGAAAAAGGTGTTTTTTGCTTTATTGCTAGGGATTGTATTACTCAATGTTAGCAGAACTCTGATGCTTATATGCTATCACAGTCTCAGCCGTTCCATTCATCAATATAAAAGTATCTGGTAATTAAGAAAAAAAACTTCAAAGATGTTATGTGCCATCAAATCACTTCTGATGTGTGGTGACTATATGAATTAGTAACCTCCAAAAATGCTGTATCATTAGCAGCTCTGCTTAGATTTTGCAAACCAACAGCATCTCATATTTGGTTGTTCTCTCTTTCTACTGCCCCCATTCCCAGCAAAAACAGCCATGAAAATTGCTTTGTGTTTGGGTGGGAAGTGGTTAACTGATGAAAATAGAGTCAGCTTCTGGGATTTTCCTTTGCTTCCTGTCACTTTCTGAATGGTAGTGAACACAAAAGGATATCCTGTAGACCATCTTTACTACTACTGCCATTGGTGTTGTCAACATTCAGGCTGCCCTTTGGCATCCTTATTCCTGCTTAAAGGCATTATAACAATAACGGAATAAAACCAAATTAAGCAAAAGAAAACAAACAAAGTAACACCCAGGTGAAGTGGCAGCTCTAAAAAAGCTGAAAGGCATTAATAGGTTTCTTTTTGACAGAATGCTTTAAAAAAACTCATGAGAACAAAAAGATATCTTAGATTTGATCCCTTATGGGAATGGAATCCGTACATGTCAAATACTATTACTTAGTTCTGTGTTATCTGAAGAAGCATTTTTCTTCACTGACTGTCCTAAACTATCTAGTAGTAATTACTATCAATTAGTGTTTCTGAATTCTAGTATCAAGAAAAAAAATATTTTTCTCCACACTTAGTAGAACTACTTATCTGTCTCAACTACTGTTACTTCATCCATGTCAAGAATAATTTCCAGGCCTGAGCAGAACAAGGTGTATTAATGACCAGTCATAATGAACAGGTGTGTAGTAATGCTGAATCATGATGACTCATGAGTGCTGCCTCATGCATGATGCAATGTCTAATGTGATTGGCCACAGGCAGATGTGCATAAGTATGTAGACAGGTATCTTCCTGATTTGTGATAAATGCTATCTTGTTATGCTGCCAGATTGAAGTGCTGGATATATCCTGTAAATACACATTTGGTGTTGGGAGAAGATGCCTGTGTGTGTGTGATTTATTTGGACCACCTGGACTGGACATTATTCTGCTGATTCTACTGAATTTCTGTGATTTTGAGCTAACAATCCATTTAATGACTGGATTCTTTGTTATGATTAATTATTTCATTCCATTCCATATTCCTCCTCACAGAACCCAAGGCATGAAATCCAGAAGATAATGCAGTTCCTGGAGAAAGAACTGGAGAAGGAGGTTCTAGATAAGATCATCCATTACACGCAATTTGAGGTCATGAAAAATAACCCGATGGCCAACTATACCTTTGTCCCTCCAGAAATAATGGACCATACAATCTCCCCATTCATGAGAAAAGGTGCTACAGTGTTTCTTTATTTGTCAGTATCACTGTTAATTGTTTCTATTTGAAACAAAGGCAATTTGTTTCCAATAGAAATAATGATTTTTATTGTTGATATGTTTCAAATTAATCACATAGGAAAAGTTGGTTTCAGTTTTTCAGAACTCACTCACGTCTTTGGTTTTCTCTGCTCTAGGAACTGTTGGGGACTGGAAAAACTATTTTACTGTGGCACAGAATGAAAGATTTGATTCGGAATACAAACAGAAGATGGCAGGAACGTCTCTGACTTTCCGCGTGGAACTTTAATTGAGACCAATTGTTTAGTATGCATTTGCTGTTCTGAGCCATCAAGACTCTTCTGACTTATGGCACCAAGAGATGGACACGAGCTGCAGTTTGGCATGCTTCAACAGATTGGGGCCACAGGTGTTGCATGGGTACACTGGATTCCCCACCCCGCCTCCTCACATGGGCACCCACTCAGAGGAGAAGGTGAGCTGGGCTGGGAACTTTGGGTCATCTATGCAACACCTGTGAGCCCAATCTGCCTCAGAGGAGGAGGTGGGGCAGGGAAGTCTGAGGCACTGCCTCTGAGTGGATGCCTATAGGAGGAGGTGGGCTGGGCTGGGAACTTTGGGTCATCCGTGCAACACCTGTGAGCCCAATCTTCTGAAGCACAATTTATGCCAATCTCTAATGGCGATCCTAAGAATTAATAATTTCCAAAATCTCCTATAATTAACAGCTCCCTTCAAGGCTCTAAGAATTAATAATTTCCAAAATCTCCTATAATTAACAGCTCTCTTCAAGGCTTGTACAGTGGTGCCTCACATAACGAGCGCACTGTTTAACGACAAATCTGCATAGCGATCTATTTTTTTAGATTGCTAATGCAATCGCATTGCGATGTTTTAATGGGTAAAACATCGCACTGCGATGATCGGTAAGCGTTTCGCTTACCGATCTTGGCATTGTGATTTTTTTAAACAGCTGATCGACGGTTCCAAAATGGCCACCAGGTGCCCAAAATGGCCACCGCAACCATTTTCGCGCCCTGCCCTCGCTTACCTATTAACGTCGCTATGCGGGGCACCACTGTAATCTCAAGGTTGTGCCTTTGTTTTCTTGAGTCAATCCATCTCTTATTCTTTAAAATACAAACAATAATCAATCAACCTTAGAACTACAGTGGTGCCCCACATAACGAGCGATTCGTTTGACGAATCCGCATAGTGATGTGTTTTCTGCGATCACATAACGATGTTTTAAATGGCAAAACATTGCTTTGCGATGATCGGTAAGCGTTTCGCTTATTGATTTTCGCATTGCGATGTTTTAAAAGCTGATTGGCGGTTCCAAAATGGCCACCGGGTAAATAAAATGGCCGCCGCAGTGTTTTCACGCCCTTTCCTCTCTTACTGGGTAGCAAAAATGGCAGCCATATGGAGGATTTTTGCATAACAGTGAGTTTTTCCCCCATAGGAACGCATTAAACATGTTTTAATGTGTTCCTATGGGCTTTTTTGCCCCGCATAGTGACGAAACTGTATAGCAACAATTTTTTTGGAACAGATTATCGTCTCTATGCGGGGCACCACTGTATCTCTAAAACAGGCAGAATTTTATTTAAGATAACAAATAGGTCAACAACCTCAAATCCAATCTGGGCAAAGGCATCCTCCCCCCTCCCCAACATACTTTTTATACCCTGGTTAATCACAGACATCATTCCAATCTAAGTTTTGACTCATTTTAGACAGTACATTTTGTCATTTGGGCTGACCAGTTAAGTCCCTCATTTTAAAAAATTCTGCATAGATCAGAAAAACTGCTGAATACATAGCTCAGTGGCTTAGGCATTAGGCTAAGGAGCCAGAGGCTGAGAGTTCAATTTCCTACTGCATTATCCATGACACTTTCCATGATTAACACAAGAGTCTCATATTCATTTACCAGGATATAAGTTGTTAAAACTGCGCTGAGGAGCCAGAGGCTGAGAGTTCAATTTCCCACCGCATTATCCATGACACTTTCCATGATTAAGACAAGAGTCTCATATTCACTTACCAGGATATACAGTAAGTTGTTGTTAAAACTGGACTCAATCAGTTTTAACAACAACAACAACAACAACAAAATGATGATGATGATGATGATGATGATGATGATGTACAGTCAAGTCAATTCTGATTCATGAGAACCCTTTTCAGAGTTTTCCAGGTAGAGAGTACTGTACTCAGAAGTGGTTTACCACTCCTCTCTTACCAGGCCCGAGACTGTGCAGCTTGCCAAAGGCCACATAGGCTAGCTCTACTCACTGGAAGCACAGTGGGTAATTGAACTCCCAATCTTAGCTCTTGTTAAAAATATACAGGATTCCTTTAGACAAGTTTTGTTATATAACTGCTGTAATTCACTTTCTCACACCAATAATTTTTCAATTCCTGATCAAAAGTTATGTTAACTATAGTGTAGTCAAACACATTGTAACTTAATATTTTTCCACATTGTGTTCCTAAACACATTGACTAGGGGGTTACCTATGCTGAACATAATAGCAACTTCTGAGCAAATAAACATGCTAACTTTGCATTGTAAGGATCCTGCTGCACTCCTGGCTAATTTCTAGTGCTGCTATAATGTTTGCTACCATTTCAGCTATGCATCTGCATATGGCCATTGCTCCTTCTGAAAGCAGAATTCTTGACTTACTCAAAATTTAGCTTTCAAGTGACAACTTAATCCTATGCAATAAACAGTGGTATAAAAATCCAAACACAAAATGAGCCCTGTTTCCAAAACAAAACAAACACCAGTCTGACTTGGCTCACCACCAGTAGATAACCAGTATTATCTATTTTCCCAAGCTAAGCATTTGCTCAAGGCAGGACTAGCTCCCTGCCTGAGGAATTAGCTGCCAAGCAACCTCCCAGGGTCATAGTTCTCAACTTTTGGTCTTTCAGAAGTTTGGGATTTCAGCTGCCAGATGCTGCAGCTAGCATAATGAATGGTCAGACATTGGAAATCAAGTTGAAAACATTTGAAGGGCCAAAGGCTGGGATTTACTGCTCTGAGGATCTTCCGTCTGGGTATCCTCTGCTGCTCTAACCCTGAGAGCAAGTGGTTCTCTGCAATTATTTTCACACAGGCAGAGAAATGGGTAAATGCTCTTATCTTCAAGAAAAAGGATTAGGATGTTCCCTGCATTCTCATTTCAAAACAAAAATAGAGCTAAAAATAGACAAAATGCAAAGTCAGGAATAACACTTGCATATTAACCAAAGCCAACGCTGGCTGATACCTTTATTTTAAAAATGTTGTGGGAAAACAGCATCCTTAACTAAGCATAAAACAGAGAAATTCATGAAACAACAAAGATCTCATAATACAATAAACACAGCTTCTTCCTGAGGATGTAACAAATATATTATGTTGAAAGGCAAGCCAGATGCTCAAAGGAATGCTCCATTTTGGGTCATATAACTGTACATGTGAAAGAAACTTAATTATTTATGGCCCTTTGTGTACTTTTTAAAAATACATCTATTATATGCATTTTTTGTTCTTCAGACTTCTTTACTGCGGGCTGCTGTGCATCAACTGATTTCCTTGCTAGCATAAATAAAACGCATTCTTAATTACTTGCAACTTAGCCTCCTGGCAGATATTTAAGAGAAAAATCTTCACATAACTCTATGAGTTGTTCTCCTGCTTTCCCTCTGACCCCCGGGATCAAATTTTCGAATGACATTTGTTTCTGTTTTATTTCCTATTTTTACATTCCAGTCACCTATGATTTAAGCGTATCAGGGATATACTTGCACAAAAGCTTTCCATTTAACCTTCTTCAGCATCTGTAGGTGGAGCAAAGTCTTGAAAAATTTGAAAGGCAAGCCAGATGCTCAAAGGAATGCTCCATTTTGGGTCATATACCTGTACATGTGAAAGAAACCTAATTATTTATGGCCCTTTGTGTACTTTTTAAAAATACATCTATTATATGCATTTTTGTTCTTCAGACTTCTTTACTGCAGGCTGCTGTGTATCAACTGATTTCCTTGCTAGCATAAATAAAATGCTTTCTTAGTTACTTGCAACTTAGCCTCCTGACAGATATTTAAGAGATAAATATTCACATAACTCTACGAGTTGTTCTCCTGCTTTCTTTCTGACCCCGGGATCAAATTTTTGAATGACATTTGTTTCTGTTTTATTTCCTATTTTTACATTCCAGTCACCTATGATTTAAGCGTATCAGTGATATACTTGCATAAAAGCTTTCAATTTAACCTTCTTCAGCATCGGTAGGTGAAGTATAGTCTTGAAAAATGGTTACATTGATGGGTTTTCCCAGGAGTCTGATAGATAGTATGAAGTCAGATCTTGCATGTTAGCCGCTCGCTATGCGAGGCACCACTGTATAGTATTAAGTCAGATCTTGCATGTTAGCCCCAACTGCCTGTGCTACAACTTGTCTCAGTACTAGAGCCACTCCATTTTTTCTGAATTTGTCATTTCCACAGTAGAACAGTTTGTAGTATTTTTTCTGAATTTGTCATTTCCAGAGTAGAAGTTTGGAGCTGTCTGAGTCTGACTGAAAATGTCCCATTCCAGTCCACTTTAGTTCACTCACACAAAGCACTGCAATACATTCCATTTCTTGCTTTATGGTTTTCACTTTCCCTTGATTCAGGTTTCTCGCACACAAAGCACTGCAATACATTCCATTTCTTGCTTTATAGTTTTCACTTTCCCTTGGCTCAGGTTTCTCATGTTCAGTGTTCCAGTTATATGTGTTGTGCAACATCACCCTCTGTGCATGTCAGCCACTAGATGTTCTTTTAGCTTTAATCTAATTGTGTCATTAGCAACAGTACTATTTGTACTTGCCCTTTGCTCTTGCCTAGTAGCACTGCAATACATTCCATTTCTTGCTTTATAGTTTTCACTTTCCCTTGGCTCAGGTTTCTCATGTTCAGTGTTCCAGTTATATGTGTTGTGCAACATCACCCTCTGTGCATGTCAGCCACTAGATGTTCTTTTAGCTTTAATCTAATTGTGTCATTAGCAACAGTACTATTTGTACTTGCCCTTTGCTCTTGCCTAGTAGCTGACCAAGTGCTTCCCGGTCTCATCTTTTAGCACTATCTTGTTTAATTTTGGACTGTTGCATCATAGGATTTTTGAAACAAGAAAGGTTCAGCAATGGTTTACTATTGCCTTTTTCTAAAGTTAGTCTGAGTGACACTGCTGTTGTCTTTGAAAGATCCTCTACCAGAATCACTTCAGCTCCACTACTGCCTGGTAGTTGCGCTCCAGATGGTTCTCCACCCCCATCTCCACTTGAACTATCCATTCTCTTTGGCTGATGTGGCTGTTATTCCTGAAGAGAGTGGATGGGCGTTAGTCTGGTACCTCAGCTATGACCATTTTGCCTTGGGTGACCCTGCTAGAAATCCAGGTTCCTAATGCAGTCTGGCCTCCTGATGGCATTGATCCCAGCTTCTCTGACACATTCAAACTTCCTCACCACATTACAGTGCATATCTATGTCATACATATATGTTTTCAGTAACTAACCACATCCTTCTACGATCCAACATATATTTGTTTGGAGTGCTGTTTGGCAGTAGGACTGCCTGAGTCATAGTCACCACATCTGGGCCAATATTTGAACCCTACGCCTTTTATGCCATCTTCGCCAGATGAAGAGTCCAGAAAAACTCAAAACCGTACCCTACTTGTAAATTTATAGTAATATAGTAAAGGTGTTACCTAATCCGAAACTTTAATAAAGGGACGTACATATAGCAATATATATGGTACAATATAAAACATTTTACATTATGTAACAGATATTATGTAATGATATACAAATAATTATTATAAATTATATATTTCTACGATGCTCCACAGCAAAATAGAACGGTTGTGATTTACCCCCTTCATGTTCCTTTACTGTCACAAACAGGAGTAGTGGGGAAGGGGGAGGATCCTCACTTCAATATTTCGGTGGGGCGCCCCCTTGCCTGGTCAAAACCTGTCTATAGCTGACCCCACAAATGGAGCAGAAACAGAGAAGAAGGGGATCACGAAGGAAAAACGGGGCCGAGCACAACACCTGACCGTGTTATGTACGAGTTGCCGTGGCAACTACCCCCTCAGAGTGGCCGAAACCGGAGCTGTAAGCACGTGCGGGTCCTTCGACCGCAACTCCCAGAATTCCTCCCTCCAGGAGTAAAGTATAAGCTGCCAGAGCAATTCTGGGAGTTGTAGTCAGAGAAAACTACACATGCGCATAATTGCCGTTCAAACTTCGGGCGACCCGTTTTCGGCGGCTCTCCGGCTGGCTTCTCTGACGTCAGAGGCGAGCGCACGGAGAGCCAGTGACGAAGGCGGAAGCGGCGCCCGAGAGAGAGCGAGAGAAAAAGTAGCTGGTGGAGGCGGTGGGATAGTCGCGTCTTCCCTTGTGTCGTTCCTCCCTCCCTCCTCCGCGGCAGGAGAGCTCCGCCATGGAGGTAACCGGACAAGGGCTCGCGGGGAAACGGGCGATGGGGGTTGCCTTTAGGAAGGTTAACCCTGCGTTGGTGTAACTGCAGCTGTGGCTATCCAGCATTCAGTCTATGGGCATGCAGGTTACTTCCCCGCCCCCCTCCAGCTCCCGCCTCTCCAAAGAGGAGTTTCCGAAACTCGTGGCGGGTCCCCATTTTCTTGAGCGACGGAGGATAATAACCTGCCTTTGATTCTTATTAGTTATTAATTAGTTATGGTATTGATTCTTATTAGTTATTAATTAGTTACGGTATTAATTGATTCTTATTAGTTATTATTAATATAGTAGTCATATATGCCCCTTCCCGTTCCTTCAGTAAACTTGAAGTCTGCAGACTTCATTCTTTTCCTCCTCACAACAAACCAGTGAGGTAGGTGAAGCTGAAAGTGCCTCAGTGAGGACTAGAACCGCAATACTCCAAGTCCCCGCACTGACGTACTAATTGCTGTACCACAGGCATAATTGGTCATATTGACTTGATATCTTGCTGTACAGAAGGAAAACCCACAGACTTCCCCTCACCCTCAGATAACTTTGACAACTGACTTATATAACTGGCAAGACTGGCTTATTTTATGGGTGAAATCCTATATTTTCTTATATGAGAGTACCAGAAATCCAGTGAGATTTAGCTATAAGTGAGCATGTTCAGTTAAGTAGGGTAAATTCATTCATTGTGGAGTGGTCAGTGTTGTCAACTTTGTGTTGTCTCTGGTGCTTTTGGCCTGATCTACATGGAAGTCAAACATATAATGTGTGCCCTTCTGGCTAAGTGATGGTGTACTGTGGCAGGTAAGAGGATCAATAAGTGAGTCACTTGTTTCTCAGATTCAGTCTCTCTCCATTGAAATGGGGAACAACATAGCATACTGATTGCTACCAAAATGAACACTTTGAAAATGACAAAGCACTCTGTGACTGTTCAGTATTACTGTAGCACTTTCAACAGATTTATGTTCTAAGCTTTGGTATGCCGAGCTTCTGTTAAGAAGTTCAAAAACAGGATGAGGTTCAAAAAAAATCTGCATTCCCAAATATGTCTGCTTCTGGAGGGAACTGCCCCTATGAATTCAGTGATGGAACTCCAGACTGCTGATTGGTGAACAAACCATGTCCTTGTATTGTCATTGCAGTGCTGAGATCCTTGATAATATACTTTGAAAGCACATGTTACCAGGGATTATGCTGCTATACAGTAGGTACATAGAGATGAACAGTTGCCTACAAAGGTCCTTCCATTCCTAGTGGACAGGTGAATAACTATTCATCCTTTTCAATTAGGCTAAACTGTTGGAGAGAATTTTGTTTTTGGACTTTTGTTTTTGGCTTTCAAGGTAATTATACTGGATAACAGGTAACTCGTATGCTGGATAGTTACTGTATTTTTTTGCTCCATAAGACACACTCCCCCCCAAAAAAAATGTTGGGGGGAAGTCTGTGCGTCTTATGGAGCGAAGGCAGCAATTTCGTCCCCACTGGTCCCATGAGGGGGAGCGTCGCAAGGGTCCGGGTGAGCCTTCCAGGACCCTTGCGAGGCTCCCCCACCCCCCCACGGGGCCAGCACCGGTGAAATCGCCAGCTTCCAGGTGGGGGGAACGTCGCAAGGGTCCTGGAAGCTCGCTCAGATCCTTGCGATGCTCCTCCCACCCACGCACGGGCCAGCACTAGCAAAATCGCCAGGTTCTGCGAGTGTTTTGAGGCTTCCCAAGCCTCAAAACACTCTCAGAAGCTGGTGATTTTACCCCCCCCGGCTCCGTCGCCGGAGGGTGG